GTTGATTTGCTGGCCCGCCTTCACTTAGGGCGGGCACGAGGCTTGCTGGGGGCCTTAGCCCAGAACATGTCCATCACGGCAAGGCCCCTTCTTGAGGGCTCAATCCTCACATTCCATCCCCATTAGCTTCGAAAGTCTGTTGAGATGCTTACTTCACAGGTGCCTTTCCTTTTAGCATCCTCTCATATTCTGCCACCACCTGAGGAGCTGTGTCAATCAGTTCCTCTCTGGTGAACCATCGATCTTCTTTCGGATCCGTATGATGCCTGAATCTGACGCGATATTCTCTCTTGGGTTTATGAGGTCTTCCTTTACCCAATGGCTTCTGAACAGGCAGATCTCTGTGATCCACAATGTCGTCGATGTCCACTTGACCATCCATGGTTGGGGGCAGCATCGTTCTCCTTGAAGGGAATTGATCAGTCTCAGCAAAAGGTGCAAGCTTTGAGGCATGAAAGACAGGGTAAGTGCATAGGTGTCCAAGGATAGGGATAACATAGGTAGGACCATTCATCTCATCCCCCACTATATCCAGGACTTCCCAGGGACCAAAATACTGAGGCATTAGTTTTCTAGAGATACCGAATTCCTGTCCTAGCTCACTAGCCTTGACCCAGACACGTTCCCCTACCTGAAATGAGGACTGTCGTCGATGCTTGTTCTCAGAAGCAATCATTGCGTGTTGAGCTTTCTTGATGTGCTCGACAGCTTGCTGCAACAACTTCTCATACTGCACACCATACTCAAGTGTGCCTGGAGTTGCAGAGGATCGGTTTTCAGGTAGGAGGAAGTCTAGAGCTGATCTAGGCTTCCATCCCAAGTGTAGCTGATTAGGACAGACGCCGGTACTGTTGTGTACAACATTGTTATACAGGTTGGCGATGAGAGGCAACTTCTCATCCCAATCATCCTGGTTGGGCTTGATGTAATGCCTCGACAAATGTTGTACAACTCTGTTCATTTGTTCGGCCTGTCCATTGGCTTCGGGATGATTCCCTGAAGTCATCTGAAGTTGACTGCCCATCTGTTCCGCAGTCTTCTTCCACAGCTCACTTGTGAATCGGACATCTCTGTCACTAACGATTGACTTTGGGAGTCCAAAATCACACACCCAGTTGTCCATAAACAACTTGATGACGTGGTCAGTCCTTGCGGTGTCTGGCATGGCAACTAGTCTAGCGTACTTGGTGAATCGTTCGATGATGACGAAGATATGCCTCTTGCCACTCTTACTGGTCACCAGGGTATCCATGAAATCCATGGAAACACTCTGTCCTGGACCAGCGGGGATAGGTAAAGCCTTCAGCAACCCAAGCGGTGCTTGAGATCACAGCTTGTCCCGCTGACAGACCTGACAGGTCTATACATACTTCTTTGCGTCATCTAGAATTTCAGGCCACCAAAATCGTTGTACTAGATTAGCACTCGTCTTTTTGTAACCAAAGTGCCTAGTTGCGTCATGGCATTCTCCTAAAAACAAACTATGCAAGTGTTCACTAGATGGAACTACTAACCTTTTAACTCCGGCCTTATCAAGATAGAGAAGCCTGTCCACCATCACAAACTCACTTTCTGTGGCCTTGTCTTTTGCCTGAAGTTTGCGCATGATGTCCATCGTGACAGGGTCTACCTGATAGGCTCCCACCAATGATTGAGTTACTTCTTCCGATACACCAAAGTCAGAAACTAGCGCCCCTAGGTAGTCTGCCCTACGCGATAGCGCATCTGCAACCTTGTTGTACTCTCCCTTCAGATACTCAAGCTTGAAGTCATATTGATCTATGACCTCAATCCATCGCTTGAGTGCATCAGAAAGAGTCGGTTGAGTCTTGATCCATTTGAGTGTCTGATGGTCAGTCCTCAAATAGAAGAACCGTCCCAAGAGAAAATGTCTCCAATGGACAAGTGCCTTATAGAGAGCATAGAGTTCCCTTTCATAGGTGGACTTTGCCAGTTTCGTAGATGGCATCTTCTTACTCATGTACTCAATCGGTCTCAACTTCTTCCCATCCTGCTGAGCCAGCACTACGCCAATGCCATATTGGCTTGCGTCAGTGATCACTATAAATGGCTTCTGAGGATCGGGAACCATGAGAACTTCATGATTCATGAGTGCATGCTTCAATCGCTTGAAAGCACCCTCGCACTCATCACTCCAGTCCCACGGCGTGTCAAGTCGAGTTAGATCCGTCAAAGCAGAGGCGACTGTAGAATAGTTCTTTACGAAGTTCCTATAGTAGCCGCACATTCCTAAGAAAGATCTGACCTCAGTAACAGTCTGAGGTCGTGGCCAGCCCCTTATACTAGCCACCTTCGCATCTTCCGGCCTAATCCCTTCCGCGGATACTTCATGGTCCAAGTATAATATCTTAGTGTGACCAAACTCACACGTCTCTAGGTTGACCTTATACTTGTGCTGTCGCAGGAGTGAAAGTACAGTCTCAACGTGTTGGGCATGCTCCTCGGCAGACTTACTAAAGATCAGAATGTCGTCAAGGTAAACCACGACAAACTTATCTAAATAGTCATGGAAGATCCGATTCATAGCGTGTTGGAATGTTCCTGGCGCATTGCAAAGACCAAAGGGCATCACTACAAACTCATACAGACCATATCGAGTCTGAAAAGTTGTCTTGTGTTGGTCCTCAGGTCTTATAGCGATCTGATGATAGCCGGATTTCAAGTCTATCTTGCTATAGTACTTGCATCCCTGCACCCTATCCAGTAGGTCGTCTATGCGAGGTAGAGGCTCTGCGTTCTTCATTGTAATGGCATTGAGGCCTCTATAGTCAATGCACATCCTCAATGTACCCCCCTTCTTTGGTACAAATAGTATTGGAGATCCGTAAGGGGAAGTACTAGGCCGGATCCATCCCTTCTCTGTCAACTCTTTCAGTTGTCACCGAAGTCCATCTAACTCGGCGGGAGCCATCCTATAGATCCTTCCCTTTGGGGTTTTACTCCCTGGAATGATTTCTATAGCGTGGACAACTTCCCTTTCTACAACTCCTGTAGGTTCTTCGAACAGATCAGGGAACTTAGCAACGACGTGTTCTATCTCTGGGGGTGTTTTAACGACCTCCACTTTTTCAGAGACATACACTAGGTACATACCCTCCTCTTGGTTTTGTTTGTAATAGTTATAGAACGCTGATGCACACAAGAAGCCATAGATATCTATAATGCTACTGGCTTTGAACTTAGTCAATCTGACTGTTCTGCAATCAGGCAACTTATGTTTTAGCACCTTCTTGTCCCAGTCGAACTGGGGCTTAGCAACCTCAAGGTAGTACATGCCTAACAACATGTCAAACGACAAGTCGTCGCTAACCAGGAAAGAAATCTTATGATTCAGTTCCCCTCCTCCATAGGAGAAGGTACAGACTACATTCGGGATATATTCTGTGACAATCATGCGCTCCTTGTTGGCCAAAGTAGATGCTACTGGTCTACTAAGGTGTTGTACCCAGTCCTGTAGGTGCAGCCTTTCCAAACAGTCGCGACTTATATAATTCCGCGTGGATCCGATGTCTATGAAGGCTCCACATTTGCGGCCTCCTACATCCACTTCCACCACGAAATGTTCCCCTCTAGGACCTTTCTTTAGTGCCACCCAAGATTCACGAGGGTCCTTGTTTGACCACTCACTTTCCAAATCTTCTAAGGCTTGAGACACATCCAGCGTACAGAGCATAGTTTGGTCTGGATGAGTCTGCGGGGTGACTAAGGAGTCATTAGCTATGGCCTTCTCATGTAGTGGGGAGGGTATCTGGCCCACTTCACCCTGAGTAGAAGTAGCTAAAACTTCCACCGGCCTCACGTGTTTCCCGAGCTAGAAGCCTGGGAATAAGGTGCCCCCATCTTAGGAGGTATCTTTTGCGTGACCTTTGCGTTCTGGCACTTGTACTGCGAGTGTCCGTATTCCCCGCAGTTAATGCAAGCATCACGCACTCGGCGGTCCAGCCACACGTCTTGATCAAGACCTGCCTTAACCCAATCAGCCACTTTAGTCTGATTGGAGGCGGCCTTCCCTTGACTCTTTGGTTGGCCCTTCACTCGGCCACCAGCCGTAGCCTTAACTACTGTGGCGAGGGTGCTACCCTCAGCGGTCTCCTCGCCGTCGTACTCTGAAATGTCCAGCAGCTCATCGATCTCGGTTTGGGTCCCATCGGACTCAACCATCAACAATTTAGCCCCCTTCTTCTTCCATTCTTGCGGACTCTTCTTCTTCCTCGTGTCATTCTGAGAAGGTTAAGCGTTTCCTAGAGTGGCCTCCAAATCTAAGGCTTTCCTAGACAACGTCTCAAAGGAGTGATACTCGAGGCGAGCCTTGCTGGCCAACAAGTTTATGAGATTCTCTGGTAGACATCTCACAAACGTGGTCAATAGGAATTGGTTGTTGTAGTTTATACCGGGAACGACGATGAGACTCTCTATGGTAGTCGTAAGCTCCCTGACTGACTTGAACTTTCGTTGGTCTAGTCTGTTTATCGCATCAGCGGCCATTTGTGCCTCCTGAGGATTGTGCCATCGAGCTTCTACCATTTCCATGAACTGGTCTAACGTAATTGTCCTAGCCCAGTCCGCCATGTGTCGTCCGTACCCAGCCTTTGTTACTACACCATCCAGCCATTTGGCTGCCTTACCCTCGAGGTAAGATGCAGCAGTAATCACCTCCTCCTCCTGCAAAGTCCTCTTTGCCTTCACCCAAACCGGAACTGTTCTCAACCAAGTGTTGAGCTCTTCGTCCTTCTTCTCGCCCGAAAAGGCAAGAGGCGGTTTCATAGGGGTCTTAGGGTACCAAAGACCTTGTGGTTGTCCCTGTGGAGGAACAGGTTGTTACGGTGGTGTAGCTCCCACCGCTGGACCCGAAGAAGAAGAAGCAACAGTCTATGAGACTGCTGCAGACGTGCCACTTGGTTGTGAGCCAGCTTGTACGGGAAAGGGGCCAGACATCGCCGTTAACGGCAACGGCGACTGTGCTGGTGGCCTAAATCCTGGCCTTTGCAAAATATCCAGGATCTGGTCTAGGGTGTTCTGCATAAAGTCCAATCGGCTGTCCACGTGCGCATGCAGCGACAACATATTGTTCTTCAATACTTTCATTGAGTCAGATAGTCCTGACTCATCCAAACCCTCTAACTCAGCTTTGTCTGCCTCTAACGTTTCAAGCCTGGCTGTTCTATTTTTTATCTCTCTTTCTCTATCGGTTGCTTGCTTCAGTTCCCTCTCTAATTGTTCGCGGATCCTCTCGACTTGTTGGAACTCTCGAAGCTCCCGTTTGCGTGGGGTCAACGGGCTGAACTGCGAGCCCGCCATTTGACTTGTAGACTGTCGAGAACCTACTGAACTGGAAGTACCCGTGGGCCCAGTGGGCATTCCATACTGAGTCCCATTGGTCCCAGACGATGACGCAACCGAGGATGCTGCTGCGGAAGACATGGCTACTGCCCTGGCTGTTGCTGCAGCCTGTTCCCTAGCTGCTGCTAGTGCACGGGCTCTGTGTTCGGCACGAAGTCGTCCTTCGTCTCCCGGTTGTAAGGCCTGAAACACGTGCGGGATCCTACGTGATCTCGAACGTGTTAGTCTTGCATCGTCAACTGTTTCCTCATCGACGTCCGACCCGTTCATCAATTAGGCAAACATAATCCGCACTAGAACCCCCTAGTGGAGTCCTACCACAACATGTGTCTGACCGACACCTAATTTTCTAAAAATAGTTGTGTCCGGCAGGTCCCTTACTTTACCGATCAAATGGCAATCTACAACATTCACAACAGATTGTCAACATAGTCTAGATGTGTCTTGATTGGTTCACTTACAACAGCATTAGATAGAACTGGCTATGGTAGTATACAACAGTCCTACTCTAATCTGTCTGTGCGGTGTCAGCAGTCTGTCCACCAACTAATCAAAGATAAAAGAAGACCATGTTGCAGATGTATGAATAGTGGGTATGGTTGTGTTTCCAGTTGAGCATCAATTAGAACCTACCCTCCCCTCAATCCAACATACCGAACAGCATCATTGAGCAGCGGTGTCTTCGTGTGCAGCGTCGGCCCACCCCTGTGCCCAAGTCGTTACCGAGCAAGCCAGCCCATCCACTATTATGTACCCTCGTACGGAACGAGCCTTACTGCCCAATGTGATCTGGCTGATCAGGAGGATGTTAAGGAGAACCCCCATCTCCGCAGGAATTATTTAACGTCGCAGACAGGACGACGATCACAGCCAGAGTCAACATTGAGTCCCCAACCAAAAATATTTATAGACGGTCTGGTAAGCGTCTCTTATGGGATGGCACACCCGGCAGGACTTCTATCAGCGCAGCAAAGTGCCAAAATGGACAGCAGCCATCACATGCGTGACCTACTCCCATTGGGTTGGCATGGTGACCGTGACCCAGTGCTTCGACCAGGGCCTATCAGAGGCACCGCCCTTTCTCCTTCCAGATGCTTCCGGGAAGATTGTCGTCTCTCAAGGTAGCGCACTCACGACACCTCACCAAAAGAGAGGACTCTCAAGTTGACTCACTTCCTCACGGTAAGAAGAGATTGAGAGAGTAGATAAGGTAAGGGAACAACGTACCTGGAGATAGCTGCCCCCAACCACAGATTTCTCACCAATTGAGCTGAGTGAGCATTCGATGACTGGTCTTGGCCTCGGTACCACCCACAATGCAATGCAGTGCCACCTCAGCCGAATGCCACATCAGCATGCTCTCATCACCAATCATACATTCCGCCTGTCACCATGGCAATCAATGCTGTCTTAGCCTTCGGGCGCACACCTCTCTACCCAGGCTGTGCGCCTATTATGGCCTGACGTCACAAGAACCAACTGCGAAGAAGCATCGTCAACGCACCGAGTCTGTATAACGCCAGCGCACCAAGGTAAGTGGCGAATCAAACCAGCT